AATTTCTTAAATTGTAAAATTATTCGCAAACATATCAATAACTAAACATTTTTAAATAAGTATTTAATTATTATTTTTCCATAGGAATTAAAAATTCTTCAAAACATTCAAATTCAAACATTTTTAAAATTAAACAACTTATAAAAATTTTAATTTCCATAAAATTTTTCAAAAAAAAAATTAAATTATTTTACAAAAATTATAATAAAATTCGTTGCAAGAATTAAATTATTTTCATAAATAATAAAATTCTTCACATGGTTTCACTTATTTTTAATACAATTTTAAATGAATTTCTCGAAAAAAAATTATCTTCAAAAATTTTTTGCAAGAATTAAATTACCTACATTTTACAAATAATGAAATTCTTCGCTGAAATTTAAAAAATTTCAAAATTTACATTTTTAATACAAGTTTTCAAAAGAATATAATTATTTAAATAAAATGTAATAAAATTCGTTGCATAAATTCAATTATTTTTTACAAGTAATAAAATTTTTCACATGAATTCAATTATTTAAAAAAAAATTGATAAAATTCGTTGTAAGAATTCCATTATTTTCATAAATTATAAAATTTTTCTAAGGATTTCAATTATTTAAAAAATGTAATAAAATTCGATGCAGGAATTCAATTATTTTCATAAATAATAAGATTCTTTACATTATTTCAATTATTTAAAAAAAAATTTGAAAAAATTCATTGCAAGAATTCAATTACTTTCATAAATTAATAAAATTCTTCACAGGATTTCAATTATTTTTAATACAATTTTAAGTAAATTCTTCGAAAAATGTAACGATTTTTAAAATTTTTGTTAAAATTCTTAGAAACAATTCAATTATGTATTTTTAAAAATTCATACTATAATGCTTTTAGTATTCAATTATTATCTAAAATTTTAACTAATATTCATTTTTAAATCAATTTTTATTGGAAAATTCTACAAGAATTCAATTATTTAAATAGAATAATAAATAATTTATTAAATAAATGAATGTTTTTCGAAACTAAATTATCATAAAGAATTTTATCAACTTTGAATTTTTTCGAGAAATTTTAATAAAATTTTCAAGAATAATTAAATTTTTCGAGGAATTCGATAAAAAATTTGTATTAAAAATAATTGAAATCCTGCGATGAGTTTTATTATATATGAAAATAATTGAATTTTTGTAAAAGATTTTATTATATTTATGAAAATAATTGAATTATTGCAAAGTTTGCTTAGAATTTTATCAAAATTTTTTTTTAAAATAATTGAATTGTTTTGAAAATTTTTTTTAAAACTGTAGATATTGAAAATCATTGAATTGAGAAAAATTTTTTGAAAATAATTGAAATTTTGCAAAGAATTTTATTAAAATTTTTGAAAATAATTGAAATTCGGAGAAGAATTTTATATATTTTTAAAGATAATTGAAATTTTGACGAGAATTTAAGAAAATTTTTGAATATAATTGAATTTTTGCGAAGAATTTTATAACTTTTTGAAAGTAATTGAATTTCTGCAATCATTTGTAACTTCTTCAAAATTCAATTTTTTCCATTTACTTAAATAAAAATCCCTGACTTTTCCCTGACTTCCCTGACCAATTTTACTTTCCCTGACTTTTCCCTGAATTCCCTTATTTCCCTGACCTGTGGCAACCCCGACTTATTATTATTTCAGTTTTATGGAGTTCTCGGGACGTAATTGAATAAAAAATTAAGAGTAAAATTTTAATATAATGTTGTCTTCGTTTCTCCAATAAATCTGACTTTGGAAATGCAAAATTTATAAAGCGTCAAATTGTAAAGTATTTTCAGTAATAAAATATCTATTCTTTTTATTGTAAAACTGTCAAAATATAAGTAATGAATGAAGAAAAATTCTTGTTTTTTTAGATTATTATTTCCATTTTATGATTCTTATTTATTGAAGGGCTTTTCATTCGGTATTTTTTTTTGTGATTGACTTACACAAGGAGAGATTCTTTATTTGATTAGAAGTTATTGGAGGGTCTTGACAAAGTTCTTGACCTACCTTGAACTAATTTTTTTTTTTTATGATTTAAGTAAAAGTTTCTCTCTCTTTCTCTCTTTGAATCAGATATTTGGGAAGCGGTGATGAAGAGCCTTAAGCAATACAAGAACGCTATTGACTTAGTCGAAATTCGTCTCAAAGACGACCTACTTACATTTGACCTGGGTTTTGTCACGTTTTAGCACCTCACTAGCCAAAATCGATATAACAGCTAATTGTCACGCACGTATATATAGTCGACAAGAAAAAAAATATTCTATAATTTTTTCATACAGTCGGTGAAATATTTAATTTTTTATTTATTATCAAAAAAGAAAATATATATTCTCATTTTTTTATTCAAGTTTACAAATTATCAGATATAATGATTAAATAATTTTGAACAAAGGACAATCATTTGTGAAAAAGATCATTTTTTTTAAATTTACACTACTTTAAGTTTAAATCTACTAATATTTAAATTAAAAAAATTAACCTTAAAAATTTTAATAAAATTCTTCAAAAAAAAAGTTCAGAAAGTTTTAATAAAATTTTTTGATAATATTCAGAAAATTTTAATAAAATTCTTAATTTTAAATTCTTAATTCTTCGAAACGATTCAATTATTTTCAAAAATTTCTGGAAAATCTTTCGCGAGAATTGCATTATTTTCATAAATAATGAAATTCTTCGATGAAATTCAAATATTTTCAATATCTACTATTTTAATAAAATTTCTCCCAAAAAATTCAATTATTTAAAAACAAAATTAATAAAATTCAATGCAAAAATACAATTACAAGGAATATTAACATTTTTACAGGAATTGAATGAATTGAATTACAATTTTCAAGAAAATTTTACGAAAGAAATCAATTATTTCAAAATATTTTATAATAAAATACACTTTAAAAGAAATTAATTATTTTCTTAAATTATTTATAACACTTGTTTATAAGAATTAAATTATTTTCATAAATAATCAAATTTATCGCAAGAATTCAATTATTTTTAAATAAAATTTTAATCAAAATATTCGAAATAATTGAATTATTATTATTTTAACTTTAAATAAAATGATTCAAAGAAATTCAAATATTTCCAAAAAATTTTCATAAATTCCTTCTCAAGAATTCAATTATTTTCACAATTAAACTTTTTCACTGCAATTGAATTATTTTTAAAAATTCAATAAAATTCGTTGCAAGAATTCAATTATTTTCAAAGATAATAAAATTCTTCGGAGGATTTTAATTAATTTTAAGACAATTTTTAAAGAAATATATCGAAAAATTGAATTATTATCAAAAATTTTAGTAACATTCTTCGCAAGAATTGAATTATTTTCAAAATAAAATTTTTTTACAAGAATTCAATTATTCTTTTAATTTTTCATAAAATAATTCAAAGAATTTAAGTTATTTACAAAAATTTTAATAAATCCTTCACATAAATTCAATTATTTTTACAAATAATTAAATTTTTCACTACAATTCAATTATTTTAAAAAAATTCAATAAAATTCGTTGCAAGAATTCAATTATTTTTACAATTAAAAATTTTCACAAGAATTCAATTATTCTAAAAAAAATTCAATAAAATTTGTTTTAAGAATTCAATTATTTTCAAAGATAATAAAATTCTTTATAGGATTTTACTTATTTTTAATACAATTTTAAAGAAATTTCTCGAAAAATTTAATTATTTTCAAAAATTTTAGTAAAAATCTTCACAAGAATTCAATTATTTTCGCAATAAAAAATCTTACAAGAATTCAATTATTCTTTTAAATTTCCATATAATGATTTAAAGAATTTCAATTATTTCCAAAAATTTTAATAAATTACTTTGCAAGAATTCAATTATTTTTAATACAATTTTTTAAAATTATTTGAAACAGTTTAATTATTTCTTTTAAATTTTCATAAAATTCTTTGAATTATTTAATTGTTTTCTAAACTGTATATATATAAGAATTTTTCCTAAGAATTCAATTATTTTCCCAATAAAAAATTTTACAAGAATCCAATTATTCTTTAAAATTTTTTTTATGAAATGCGTTGCAACAATTCAATTATTTTCATAAATAACAAAATTCATCTCTAGAATTCAATTCTTTTTAATACAATTTTTATTAAATTATTTGAAATAATTGATTTATTGTTTTAGATTTTAATAAAATTTTTTGAATTATTTAATTTTTAATTATTTTTAAAGCTATTATAAAAATTTTTCGTAAGAATTCAATTATTTTGATAAATAACAAAATTCATCTCAAGAATTCAATTATTTTTAATACAATTTTTTAAAATTATTCGAATCAATTTAGTTATTTCTTTTAAATTTTCATAAAATTCTTCAAACTATTTAATTGTTTTCTAAACTGTATACAATAAGAATTTTTCCTAAGAATTCAATTATTTTCATAAATAATAGAATTCTTCACAGGAATTCAATTATATTTTTAATACAATTTTTATTAAATTTCTGGAAACAAATTTAATTATTTTTAACATTTTTAGTGAAAAAAATATTTTCAAAAATTCAATTGTTTTTCTAACTACAATTCTTTTTAGAAATTCAATTTTTTTCATAAATAATAAAATTCTTCATAGGATTTCAATTCGAAAGAAAATCTAATAATCTTGATGAAATTTTAATAATTGAATTCTTGTACAACTTTCTAAGAAGAATTGATTTAAAAATTACTTTCAGTTTAAAATTTTAGATTTTGAAATATTTATTTAAATTTTCAGTTTGTAGAATTGAATTCAAAAAATTTTATTTTTTTACTTATTCAAAAAGTATTTTTCAGATATAATCGAATTTTTGAAGAATTCTAACTGAAAGTTTAGAAAATAATTGAATTTCATAAAAATTTAGAATTGAAATTAATTTGAAATTAAATTGAAATTAAAGCTACATTTTGCTATTTTTTAAAATTAATTATTGAGTGCAAAGCCGGATTTTCACATTTAACGAGAATAAAACTTACCCTGCAAAGAACATCAATAGAAACCAAGAGCCTGGAACTGCTACTATCAGTATAGCATCTTCGGCAAGACGATTCTCGGACAAACGACAAGGAATGCAGGCCAATATCAACAAGTTGCTGATAAGAAAAATAAATTTTGCCGGCTCATTACTCTGGAAAACAAAGAAAAGCAATTATTGAAAAAAAAAGAAAAAATATTTATTATTAAAAAGAATGAGAAATATTTTCTCTTTATTATTTCAAGAAGCAAAATTTCAAAATATTAACTAACTGAAAATTAATTAACTCAAAATATTAACTGATGTCTAAAAATCAACATTTACCAAGTGCAGAATAAAAATGATAAAATAAATAAGAGTTGAATCAAAGTGACTGTGACTGTTCAAAGATAAGTTTTAGATGAAAAGAGATTTTAAGTAGAGTAAACAGATTTTGGTCAGACGTCTGTTTCTAGACTAGCAGAAGATAGAATTAACAAATTCTCTAAGGTTCTGCTTTAAGACAATTATTTTTAATAATCTTCGAAAAAGTTTCTTTCTGAATTTTCAAATTTATTTGTTTACAATTCAATTTTATAACAATTATTTTATTTAGTAATTAGTATTCAATTATTATCCAAAAAACTGAAATTCATTTTTAAATCAATTTATTAAATAAATCAAGAAATAATTTATTAAATATTTCAATGTTTCTTAAAATTAAATTTTCATAAGGAATTAAACCAACAAATTTTTAAATAATTGGATTTTTTCTGACGAATTTTAATAAACTTATTAAGAATTTTCAAGAAGAGTAAAATTTACAAATATTTTAAAGTTCATTTAAATGGAATATTTCTGTGGGTGTATATGACATTTACAGAAAATGATTTTATAAATATAATTCTTTATATTCGTCGGTACTTCGGTAGTGGTTTTATAAAAATAATTCCTCTTCGTCAATTTATATTGTCGGAAGTAGAAAAAGTTTGTGTTTTAAAAAAAGAAAAGAAAAGAAATGAAAAGAAGAGAAAAGAAGAATGAATAAAGTATAAAGGGAAGAGGAGAATAGAAGCGATTTAAAAACGTCTGAAGCGTAGGTGGATTGTATACTAGCTGTTTGAGGAAAGAAGGAAGTCCAACGTTGACTATTTCGCCACCCAACTGAACCAGAATATAGCCCAAAACGCCAACAACTGTAATACATTCGGCAATGGTACGTCCCACGTCCGTTATTTCCTCCGGCCACTTGAGAAGCTGAGCATCAATTTCCGCCGGTCGTAAATACACGGCCAGAGACAACGACGCCAAGTGAAAGACAAGGATAATCAGACGTTTTAGAAACTGCAACTTAGATGAAAGAGTTCTTTCACTTCTTTCACTCTCCTATACCTACATTACATTATTTTCAAAGTGATTAAATTTCTGATTAAATTTCAAATTTCATTTTCCACTTCTGCCGAAATGCATTATCCACTATTTATCATTTTATAAAAGAGAAGTCCGCGCCGCAGTTGATGGCCAATTAAAATATTTTACAGAATTCACTTGAAAATATCACTTAATATGGATTATTCTTCAACCTTTCGTGACTAAAACTAAAAAGAAACAATAATCCAAATTTTTCAATTAAGGTTGCCACAAAAATTTAATTTTGTTTTTTCCTGATATCCAGACAAAATTTTCACTTTTTCCCTGACCCTAAAAAATATTTTGATTAACTCAAAAAATTATTAAATAGAGTATATCCCCTTTTTAATTTTGGTCCCTAAACGTACTCTATTCTGAAAATTTCCCCTATTTTTTTCATTTAGTTTTTTTTTATTCTTTCATAAAATTAATAAAATTTGTAAGATTAGTATTTTGGTGAAGTCAAGTCTCAATTATGTTTAGAAGTTGGTTGTATTTTAAATTCTTACAATCTGCACAAACTTGTTATGACCTGCATTATTTTTAAAAGACAATATTCATCCCAAGAATTCAATTATTTTCGAAAGTCATAAAATTCTTCGAAGAGATTCAATTATTTTTTTAAAATTTTCACGAATATCTCGTCAAGAATTCAATTATCTTTACAAATAGCAACATTTTTCGCCAAAAATTCAATTATTTTCAAAAATTTATAAAAATCTTTGCAAAAGTTCAATTACTTTCTAAAGTTTTTTGCAATTCAATAATTTTCAATATTTACTATTTTCATAAAATTTATCAACAGATTTAATTATAGAAAAAACTTTTTCATACAATTCAATTATTTTCATAAATAATAAAATTTCATTTACGAATTCAATCATTTTCATCGCAGAATTTCAAATATTTTTAATACAAATTTTAAATAAATTCCTTAAAAAATTCAATTGTTATTAAAAATTTTATTAAAACTTGAGGAAAGAATTAAATTTTAAGAAACATTCAATTATTCAATAAAACAATAAAATTCGTTGCAATAATTCAAATATTCTCATAAATAACATTTAAATCGTTGCAGAAAATCAAATATTTTCAAAAATTTTTAGGTAATTTTGCAAAAGAATTCAATTAGCTTGATAAACAACAAAATCGCATAAATTCTTCCAATAAAATCAATTATTATTCTAAAGAATTTTAATAAAATTCTTTTCCAAAATTCAATTATTTTGATAAATATCAAAATTCATCACAAGAATTCAATTCTTTTGAAAATTAATAAAATACTTTGAAGAAATTAAATTATTTCCATAATTTTTTAAAATTCTTGTCAAGAATTAAATTATATTTATAAATAGATAGGGAAATTCTTCTCAAAAATTTTTCAAAAATTCTTCTCAAGAAATCAATTATATTCAAAAAATTTAATAAAATTCTTCTCATAAATTCATTTGTTTTCAAAAATTATTATTTAAATTCACAGGAATTCAATTATTTTTTAAAAATTTAATAAAATTCTTCACAAAATTTTCAATTATTTTCTAAAATTGTTATAAAATTCTTTAATATAATAAATTTCATTAAAATTTTAATTAAATTCCTTAAAAGAAATTAAATACTTTTAAAAGTTGTTAATACAATTCTTTGTAAAAAACACATTTTAAAAATTCAATTATTTCTAAAAATTCATGCGATAATGCTTTTAATGTTCAATTATTTATTATCTAAAATTTTGACTGAAATTCATATTTAAATCAATTTTTATTAGAAAATTCTACGAGAATTCAATTATTTATATACAAAAATGGATAATTTATTGAATACTTGAATGTTTCTTAGAATTGAATTCTCATAAAGAATTTTATCAACAAATTTTTAAAGAATTGAATTCTCACGAAGAATTCTAAGAAAATTTTTAAGAATTGACAAATTTTTTAAGAAAATTGATTAAAATTGTATTAAAAATAATTGAATCCCTTAAAAGAATTTTAATATTTTTAAAAATAATTGAACAATTGAGAAGAATTATTTTTAAAAATAATTGAATCCGTTAAAAGAATTTTAATATTTTTAAAAATAATTGAATCCCTGTAAAAATTGTATTATTTATGAAAATAATTGAATCCCTGTAAAAAAATTGTATTATTTATAAAAATAATTGAATTATTGCGAAGAAATTTATTAAAAATTTGAACATAATTATTGAATTGTTTTTAAATTTTTATTATTTATGAATATAATTAAATGTTTGCGTAAAATTTTATTAAATTTTTTTTTTAAAATAATTAAATTATTTTTGGTAATTTATATTAAAATAGTAGATATCTATTGAAAATCATTGAATTGAGGGAAATTTTTAAAAATAATTGAAATTTGGCCAAGAATTTATTAAAATTTTTTAAAATAATTGAATTTCAGAGAAGAATTTTATTATTTTTAAAGATAATTGAAAGTTGGAGGAGAATTTTTAAAAAATTTTGAATATAATTGAAACTTTTAAAATAAATTCAATTATTTTGAATATAATTTTAATGAAATTCTTCGCAGAAATACAATTATTTTTGTAAATAATAACATTCTTCAGTGAAATTTTCAATTATTTGCAAAAATGTCTAAAAAATTCTATATATAAGAATACAATTATAATTTTATTTGCAATAATTGAATTCCTCACAGAAATTTAATTATATTTTCAAAAATTTGCATAAAATTCTTGAAAACTAGAGAAAATGAAGCGGAAAAGAAATTATTGACGTTTTGAAAAATTTTATAATTAAAGATATATTCGAAAATTAATGTATTACATACATTTTTGTTATGTTTTTTGTGTACAATTATTTTTAGAGTAAAATAAAATATTTTTTCTAGTGTCAGAGAAAAACTCAAAATTCTGTCTCAAAATCAGGGAAAAGTAAAATCAAATTTTTGTGGCAACCCTGAAATGTAAATTTTAAGATTGTTTCTTTGGAAATATGTTATTTAACATTCATTTATTTAAAAAAAATTAATTTCTATTATACCACAAATGTCGGTTATTATTAAATTATCTGTAAAAAAAAGACGAAGCTAACTTAGAAAGCATCTTAAAAAGAGTTTATGTTTATAAGTTCCACGCCATATTATAAATAGTAATCAGGTGAACAAAGTGCCGCGATAAAAAAAACAGAAAGAAAAATGCTTACCCGAGCGAAAGTCTTCCACTTTTCCTCGAGTAATTTCTGTATGATGCCACCATCAAGCATAGCCAAATGTTCCTCCTTTGTTCCATTGAGAATGATGAACAAGGCGGAATTCCAATCTGAAAAGGAAAAATTTCTTTCTTTTAATAATGTAGCTGTCCATTTTGAGATAAATGTTAAGACGTCTATTGACAAGTCCTCAGCAAATATGGTATCAAAAGTTTTAGTCCCGAGGGGATTATATGCATAATTATTCTTGTAAAGCACAACAAGCAAGTCCTCCAAAAAAAATAGCTTAACAAGTTTTTTTTTCTTCTCCTTTTTTTATTTTTATTGTTCTTTCCAAAAGAAAAGAACTTTTCGAGATTAGCACATAATAATGGACCTAGAAAAATGTGGGGTTAGAGACAATTACCCAAACAGAAAGTTTATTCACAAAAATCACAAGTAATAAAAAAGAAGACCATTTGTTCATGAAGAATGTACAAAAAAAAATTCTAAAATATATACGAAAATTAACAAAAAATTCAAAACTAGCTTTGCATTTCTCAGTAAAAAAAAACAGCAGAGTTGCCACAGGTCAGGAAAATCAAGGAAAAGTCAGGGATTTTTATTAAAAGTACTGGAAAAAATTAAATCTTTAGAATTCATAAGAAAATATTCTGAATTTTTTGTGCAATTTTTGTTTGACTCATTAACTATGAAACTACCACGAATTCTAATACAAAACCTTCAAAAAAATTTCTATTTCTGACAAGAATAAATTTTTTAATATTATTTAATTATTATAAAAGTTTTCACTAACATTCAATTATTTTTAGGAATTTTTAATAAAATTCGTTGCAAAATTCAATTAATAAAAAAAAAAAAACAAATATTTATCACAAGAATTTCATTATTTTCAAAAGTAATAAAATTCTTTGCAGAAATGCAGGGTGTCTAACGGTCAGAAAAGTTAGGGAAGTCAGGAAAATTTCTAAAAATTTATACAAAAATTAAAATTTATGTGTTTTTGAAGAACACAAAAATAATGAAGCTGATTGCCATAAAAGAGGAAGAAAAAAAGTTGAATTTTAAGAAATTCGGTTTTTTGAATTTTTGCTAATTTTCCATAATTTTTGATTTTTTACCAAAGGGTGGAGACTATTAAATAAGTAAGGTATTTTCCAAGAGCACAAAAATAATGATGCTAAATGCTATAAAAAAGAAGGAAAAATGTTGAATTTTAAGAAATTCGGTTTTTTGAATTTTTGCTAATTTTCCATAATTTTTGATTTTTTACCAAAGGGTGGAGACTATTAAATAAGTAAGGTATTTTCCAAGAGCACAAAAATAATGATGCTAAATGCTATAAAAAAGAAGGAAAAATGTTGAATTTTAAGAAATTCGGTTTTTTGAATTTTTGCTAATTTTCCATAATTTTTGATTTTTTACCAAAGGATGGAGACTATTTACTGAGTAAAGTATTTTCCAAGAGCACAAAAATAATGAAGCTAATTGACATAAAAAGGAAGAAAAAATGTTGAATTTTAAGAAATTCGGTTTTTTGAATTTTTGCTAATTTTCCATAATTTTTGATTTTTTACCAAAGTGTGGAGACTATTAAATAAGTAAAGTATTTTCCAAGAGCACAAAAATAATGATGCTAAATACCATAAAAAAGAAGGAAAAATGTTGAATTTTAAGAAATTCGGTTTTTTGAATTTTTGCTAATTTTCCATAATTTTTGATTTTTTACCAAAGGGTGGAGACTATTTACTAAGTAAAGTATTTTTCAAGAGCACAAAAATAATGATGCTAATTGACATAAAAAGGAAGAAAAAATGTTGAATTTTAAGAAATTCGGTTTTTTGAATTTTTGCTAATTTTCCTTAATTTTTGATTTTTTACCAAAGTGTGGAGACTATTAAATAAGTAAAGTATTTTCCAAGAGCACAAAAATAATGAAGCTAATTGACATAAAAAGGAAGAAAAAATGTTGAATTTTAAGAAATTCGGTTTTTTGAATTTTTGCTAATTTTCCATAATTTTTGATTTTTTACCAAAGGGTGGAGACTATTTACTAAGTAAAGTATTTTTCAAGAGCACAAAAATAATGAAGCTAAATGCCATAAAAAAGAAGGAAAAATGTTGAATTTTAAGAAATTCGGTTTTTTGAATTTTTGCTAATTTTCCATAATTTTTGATTTTTTACCAAAGGGTGAAGACTATTAAATAAGTAAAGTATTTTACAAGAGCACAAAAATAATGAAGTTAATTGACATAAAAAGGAAGAAAAAATGTTGAATTTTAAGAAATTCGGTTTTTTGAATTTTTGCTAATTTTCCATAATTTTTTATTTTTTACCAAAGGGTGGAGACTATTGAGTAAATAAAGTATTTTTGAAGAGCACAAAAATAATGAAGCTAAATGCCATAAAAAAGAAGGAAAAATGTTGAATTTTAAGAAATTCGGTTTTTTGAATTTTTGCTAATTTTCCATAATTATTATCGTTTGTTTCTATGATTAGATATTGATTTATTGTTAAATATGTCAGTTACCATTTTTTTGTTTCAAGAATGCAGAAATAATATTAGTAAAAAATACAAAATAAAAAGTGAATAAATAAACAAAATAAAAAGAGGAAAAGAAAACTAAATTCAAAAAAGTCCTACAAATTATAAAAAAATTATCAACAAAGAAAAAAAAGGAACTAATAAGATCTCTACAAACAATCTCCTTATGTCAACTACAAAAGCAATTGGAATACAACAAAAAAAACATTCTGCTTTGACAACAGATTTTTTTTTTAATATTCTACAATAAAAATGCTTATTCTTGAATAAAATGATTTTACAATATACAGAAAAGAAAAGTTGTAGTAAAGAAACTAAAATGAGGGTTTAGAAAATAATAGAACATGGCTTAAGTCAGACTCTCCAATTGATTATTTTTCTTCGTGTCATTTCGATAAGTATCACTGCAAAAAGGAATAAAAAAAAGTAGTTTATCTGATTCAACTTCTTTTGAAGAAAAATGTCAATTTTCATGGGGGGGTAAAAGATAATAAACGAAGAAACTTGAAAAGACGATGCAATAATAATCAATAAGGAAGTTCTTTTTTTTATCTTTCAAACAAAGTCTGTCATACATATATACGAATAACAATGGGGGCGACCTTCATCAATTATTTTATTTTCTTATCTTTATAAGAAACCTACAAATTTTTTTTTACACCCCAACATGACGGAATGTTCCATTCATATATTCCTGAAATATTTTTACATTACTCCGAAGGTCGGACATTTTAACCCTTTAAATTTTTGGCGTCGCTGATTACGAATTTAAAGTCAGATTTTCAAAATTTAGAAAATCTGACCTTAGATTCCTAATTAGCGACCCCGAAAACCCCCGAGTAACAAGTTTTATGCAAATTTGAGCAATTTTGAAAAAAATGTCCGCCATATTGGATCCGCCATTTTGAATTTTGCAAATCTGAGTTCAGATTCGTAATCAGCGACCCCAGAAACCCCCGAGTAACAAGTTTCAAGTGATTTTGAACAATTTTGAAAAAAATGTCCGCCATATTGGATCCGCCATTTTGAATTTTGCAAATCTGTCTTTGGATTAGTAATTAGTGACTATAACAACCATCGAGTAACTCGAATAACTCGTTGAGTTTCCTGGGGGCACGAAAGGGTTAATAAAAATAGCAATATTGGATTTTTATAAAAATTGTAAAAATACCTGTTTTTTTAATTGCTAATTGTTTAACAATAAATGTTTAAACAAATTAATAAAAATGTTTTAATTTTAAAAAACTGTGAACGCCAATCGACTGCCTAGGCAAAATTAATAAACCTTTCTGTAGCTCATTTCTTTGTGCATAAAATTGTTGATAAAATTGTTATAAACAAATTATTCTGTATAAAAGGTGTTTCATCCCAGGCTTTTTTAACAAATGCTTTTTTAATAAAAGTAACAATTGGATTCTCAGGCAAATTGAAAAAAAAGATATATACCTTTTTTTGTTTTTCAATTGTTTAATAAAAATTGTTTAAACAAATTCAAAAATATTGTTAAATTTTAAAAAATTATCAACGCTAAAATCGATTATATGAGAAAAATTAACAATGTTTTGTGTGCCATAACAGGTTTTAAATTTTTTTTATTAATTTGTTTAAACAATTATTGTTAAACAATTGGAAATTTAAAAAAAATAGGTGTATGTGTTTGTTTAAACAATTTTACACAGAGAATCGATTGACTTTGAAAGTTTTTGTAAATTTTTTATTAATAATCTAATCAAATAATTATTGTTAAACAATTAGAAATAAAAAAAGGTATTTTTTTCAATTTTCCTATGAATACAATTTTTGCTTTTTTAATAAAATTTTTTATTTCTTCATAAGACTTAAAGGATTAATATTCTCAAAAACCATCAAAAAGTAAAATGTAAATATATTTTTTTTTCACCATTCCTTTTTTTATCATTAAAAGAAAATTCCATATTTTCTCCTACTGCCAACAAATATTAAAATTTCGTACATGTTGGTCCATTTAAATGAAAAAAATTACACTTTTAAATTGAAAGAATTTAAATTTAAAAGTACCAGATGTACAGTTCAAGCAATAGGATAAAAAAGGGAACAAGAAATAAGGACGGTTATTATTTTTTCCCAGAACAATATTGTCCGCGAATTTTCTCAATTTTTTCCCCCACTTTCTTTTCAATAGATTTTTATTTTTATTTATCACAATAATTAACAATTATTATTGATTTTTAATTTATTATTTTGAAAGAAAAATTACAAAATTATTTACAAAACATTCCATATTAAAAAATTTTATTTCTACCTCATGAAATAATTGAACTTTTCTCAAACTGTCTAATTTTTCAGATTTTTTTACCTTGAATTCCAACTTCCGCGCAATGTAAAGTTCGAAAGTTTCTGAACTTTTAGAATTTTTAATATTAAACATCCGAGCAATTTTTTTTTTTTGGTTTACCAAAAAAAAATTTGCTCTGTTATTTATGGATAATATTTTTAAAAAAAATAAACTTGGACAGTTGATTCAGTTCAACATTTTTTTTTTATTTTAGATAAAAAAAAATTTTTTCTCCCTTGGAAAATTTATT